TAATACCTTACACTATGTGTTCTGTAATGTTTATTAAGGTTTGTGCAAAAAAACCAAACACTTATAGAAAGCCTTTATCTTTTAAAAACACATTTATGTCATGTACATGAGAGTAGCATCAAAATGCAGACAAGAACTTGGAGTAAGCATAGTAAAGTTTTGTTAGTGATAAAATAAACTTTACTGATCTGACATGAGGAGACCAGAAAATGGTGTATGAGCAGAGAACCTGGTATGAGCAATAAAAACCAGCGAGCTTATGTAATGCAGGAAGACCGCAGAATTACATTGGGTCCAGGTGAGCTGCATTAGGGGAATGTGGAACAGCTGTGCTGGAAAACAAACATGGAAACTGGCGGAAAGTTAATAGTTAAGACAATAGAAACGACAAACCATTAAAAAAAGAGACTAATACTAACATAAGAGAACAAACCAAGAAATGGAAGAAGATAAGAAATAAGTCAAAACAAAACAATACATTGTAAGATTTTTCTGAAAATAAACTGAGTGCAGTAAGACCATTAAAACATAAATAGACAACAAGGACATGATCGAAAACCAAAACCCAGACTTATTAAGATTCTTCCTCATTTAGAAAATTAAAATAAAATGTCTTGAGAAAAACATTAAGAAAAACTTTAATTTTCCAACAGCTTCTAAATGAATCTCGGTACCGCTCAATAAAGGCATGGTGTTGCTCTTTAACTTGCCAACTGGCCTTAAGGGGAAAATGAGGAATATTTAACTGCAAAATGGATTTTAAAAAGTGAAAATACAACTAAAGTTGTTGCAATAAGTTTGTTTCCCGGCTTTAAAGAGTTGAATAATGACCCTTTTTATCATTTTGTGGCAGTAGCTGCCTTTATTTGACAGTTTTTATACAGGAAGGACGGCATAAGGAGAAAGGAAATGCACTGGACGAGGAGAAGTAGCACTTTCAGTATCGGGTGAAACCTCCTTAAATACCATTTCAGTATGAACATTTCAAGTTCAGAAATTCCTCCCCAGGTTTCTTTCATAAGATGTGAGTTAATCAGACATTTCTAACCTGATCTTGTCCTTTGCTCGAGGCGTCTCAGGGCTGATGCAGTTAATGCACAACCAGCTCAGTTATTTAAGCTGACTGTGATCATTTTGATGATCTTTTAGATCAAATGAGATGAATCATGTCCACCTTTACCGTTTCAACTGTTTCACTACTACTACATATTTCCCCTGCTTGATAACCCGCTGTTTTGCCTCTACACTGGAGCACCTTGATAAACTACAGGAGGAGCTCTAAAGCTGTAATAACAATGGAAGCCTTTCCTCCTCCTGTCAGTGGAAATCTCAGGTTCAGCTGCCCTCGTCACCTGACCCCACAAAGTTTCTTTTTTTTTTCTAAAAGTTGCATTTTCTTTAGGTGAAGCAGTGTTTTTTTATTATTATTATTATTTTATAGATTTTGGTGCATGCTTTGACTCACTGCATTGCTGAAAAAATTTGACTTCCTCGTCAGATTTGAGCCAAAACTGCCTGGTGTTTTGGAACTCCTCATAGTTTCACAAGCCGGGCACCAAAAAGCCCGACCAACACGTTCCTCCGTGGGCTCGGCTCGGCTCGGCTCGGCGTTCTCTTTGGTGACACACGGCGACTTGTCTGTGCCAAACACAACTTTTTGATTCAAGTTTGTTTTCGACGCACAAGCACACATTCTTCCAGCAACTTTTAGAATATGCTAATCAGGGCTGGGTGCTTGAGTCAAATTAAGAAATGGAAATTATTTAGGGTTTTTCAACCAATCAGGGGGTGGGGGAGGACAGCAGCTGTTAGGGTGCAGGGTGTCCTAACTTCTTCATTAGTTAATACACTGTAGAATTGTTTTGTTTAATGAGTAAAACAAGATGAGGGCGGGTATGGCCCCTTCTTGAAAAATGCTGGTCCCCCCAGAGAGTCAGGCATACAGAGGCATCTTCTTCAATGAATACATTAAATTAAAACCCAATACATAAATGCTAAACGAACGTTTAGTATTTCTTAGCTAACAAAGAACATGAGTGAAGGAGGAAAACTGTACAGATGAGCTGCAACAAAGTTTCTGTTTCCTGTGAGAGAACAGAGGACATACGGCCTTGGAAGTTTGCATACCTTTTGCGGAGACAGAAAAAAAAAAAAAAAAAAATCATCATGCTCACTTGTCGAAACACAAACTGAATGGAGAAAGACAGCAACGTTCAGTGGAGTTACTTATAAAGATATTAAAAAAATAATTATTGCAATGTTACAGTTTTGTCAAATCGCATCTCTAAGCTTTATATATTTTAAAAAAAAAGAGGGATAATTCATTGAGCTTTCCGGTTCAACAACGAATCGCCAGAGAAGGCTTTTACAGGCCGCTTTGCGCTGACAAAAGCCTGACAGTTCAGCGGGCTTAAGGAGGCTGATCATTTGCTCTTTAAAGATGTAGAGACACAGGCCACTGCTTTTGGTTCCCTTCCTCTCCGGGTTTGATTTACATTCTGAGCGTCTCTCTGAGTGAAGCTGATGACGGCCAGCTAATACGTCACTCCTCCATACTGTCTTAGTAACGTCAAGATAATTGAACTTGTTTACATATCCTCTGGGAAATCAGCCGACGCCAAGAATACACCAAAGAGAAGAACACGAGCGGCGCGCGCTGGGGTGTGTGACTTGAAATGTTTTGTTTTGTTTTTTGTATTTTATATCCAGCCGTCTCGTGTCACACCTATATGTTCTGACAAAAGACATGCAATAAATTGGGGGGGGGGGGGGAACTATGCATGTGTGTGTATCCGTGCGTCCATTTCCCTCAACACACACACACACGCACGGGCGCGCGCGCCCATCCGCCGCTGCGAGTGACGCGCCGCCAGTGCATGTGTAACCTGAGATTCAGGTGGTGATGCAGGCGGGTGTGCAAATACGTGAGTGGAATTTGTTACCACGGCAACAGTCGGTGCGATGGAATGGCTGGTGCAGTTCTATTAGCGAGAAGCAGTTTCCATAGCGACTCAACATCGCAGCTGCCTATGCAAGAGTGTGTGTGTGTGTGTGTGTGTGGCTTTGTATGAATACGGTGTGAATCCTGTGTGAATTTCGGCGTTCATTAGCGTACCTTGCCATGTGTGTCTTGATTTGTGCCTCTTTTTTTTTTTTTTTCATCCGTGATATCTTCAGGGTTTTTTTTTTTCCATGTTTGTGACTCTCCAATTCCATTTCTTTACCCATCGCTTCTCTCATGCTGCCTATTTTCATCTTTTCCTCTCTGTTTCTATCTTGCGCCCCCCCCCCCCCTCCTTCCTCCGCCCCGCCTCGCTCCCCCTCTCTTCTTCCAACCCAGCTCTCTCACTCTTTCTTTCTCTCCTGTTATCTTCCCGTCTCCCTCCCTTCTTTGAGCGCTGAAGCTCATCAGGGTAAACAGATGCTGTGGCTGTTATTTATGTTTCCACTTGGTCTGCCTTTCATACAAATTATCCACAGGGCCTGCACAGTGCAGACGCTCAGCCTAACTGGAGTGCTCTGGCAGCTCTCTCAGCCTCGTCCACGCTCAGACGCTCCGAACATACCACAGACGCTCCGATGGGGTGAGGGTGGGGGGGTCAGGAATGGAGGAGTAGTGGCAGGTGGGTGGGGGGAGGTAGAGGGGCGCACACAGGCTGACTGAGTAAACCATAGCAACATACTGATGGCCGCAAAGACACCAATAACAGATAAGGCATCGGAACCGCTTGCACCATTTGCTCCACACGTGGAGGGGAATAAGAGCGCGGGAAGATGACATCGCTGCAGAGGACGGGATGAACAGGCAATCACAGGAGGAGGCATAGAATGGGACATGCACTAAATAGTTTCACCCAGCCAATTAGAAAAGTGTTTACAACCCACTCACAGGTCAGACATTTGTAGTAAATTCAACCTCGTCCTGTAGCCGATTCCCCATTATTTTATTTTTTCCTTTAAGACATAAAACATATCAGAACGGTATTGAAAATAATGAATAATTTACACCAGGAGAGGAAGAGATGTCACGCCACTGTCTGAAAAAGCAGACTGTGCTGTTATTTTAAAAGCAAAGCTAGATGGATCGCAGACTTTGCTTTCTGCACCGGGTTTAGCGTGTTTTATCAGCAATTAGCATTGGCAGGCAGCACAAAAAAAAAACAAAAAAAAAAACAGAAAAGACCAAAAAAGGATGAAGTGCAGCAATGTTGCTCTGCTTCTTTCAGCCCTTATGTTTTCTGCACAGGGTCTGGTAAGGACTCCAGCAAAAATGATGAAAAAGCCGCCCAATTAGCGGACCAGCTCGTTTCGGCCCTGATGAAAGCCATAAGCTGAAACACGTTGGTCTACCAATGAAGTTGGTTTCTCACCATTTCAGGTGTTGCTGAAGTCTTCACCTCTCATTACTTTCCTTTCGCCTTGGGAAGTGAGGTGAGGTTGTGCCAGAACATTTTGGATATCGGTTTGAGAATCTAAATAAATCACAGTTTTGTCTCAACACAGCCTTGGATCTTTTGGGAAAAAGAGAAAGAAAAAAAGACAACAGCTTATTATATTATATTCATCTGATTTCATTTTAAACACCTTAGTGATACAGAAAATGGCTAAACTTGACTCTTCTTCGTTCTGTAACAGAAACATTAAATAGTCTTGTTGTAAACATTAACATATGGCATTCAATCAATAAGAAAGGCTGATAGTCCAGATAATAATCGTCTGAATCTTGTCACCAATCAGTTTTTCCACATTTTCTTCTTTCATATTCTGACTGTGGCAGAAATGTTTGCGATTGTTTCTTTTTCTCTCATGAAAATTCTTTACCACTTCTCTAGAGTTGGCATATATATATATATATGTGTGTGTGTGTGTGTTGCGGGGGGGGGGGGGGTAATTGCATACTTATATGTTTGCATGTGAAAATTGTTGAATTTGAATCATGTTTCACAAGTAACGCACATCTTTTTTTATTATTTTTTTTTTGAAAAATCCGTATTTTGCAGATATTCGAGATCGCCGAAAGAAGCCAGTCATGCTCTTTATCCACGGAGGCTCCTACATGGAGGGCTCAGGGAACATGTTTGACGGGAGCGTCCTGGCTGCCTACGGAAACGTCATCGTCGTAACCATGAACTACCGCCTTGGCGTGCTCGGTGAGTTTGAGGCATCACATTATACCATGTTTGCCATGTCTCTGCCAGGAAGTGACAGAAGCGGTGACTTCAAAAGGGAGAAAATATAAACTAGTTTTTGTAGTCGAAAATGGCTCCAACAGTTTCTCTTTGAACTACTATCGTAGGGTTTATGAATATATGTTTGTAGCCTTTGGTTTCACATTTTAGAATATAGAAGCCGTCTTAAGTTAATTTAAAAGTTTTTTAATTATGCCAAAGAGAAACTAAGTATCATATCAGACGAGTATCTTCAGATGATGATGCAGTGAGCAGGAATGGGTCTCCAGCAGCAGTTGGTCTTGCAATGAAACTGAAGAGGCCTCTGACTGAAGACTGTTTCTGTAATAAATGTAGTCTTATGACAGTCATATCATGCTTAAATCTCAATTTCCAGGCAGCAGATACAATGTTCCACAGTAATATGACCCGGATGACAGCATCGGTCATTGGCAAGTGTTGCTAACCCACTTCATTTGCTTTTGCTGCTCCTCTTTAAATCTCTGTTTCAGTCTTCCATTATGTTATTTACTTGATAAACAATCTTTGTGCAATAACCTCCAGACGTTTTACGGTGTAACAGAAGTACGATGGGCTCAGAACAGGGGGCTTCTTTATCGTCATCGGTGCCCATGTAAAATTTACGTGCCAACATATTACCGTGCATGTACAACTTGAGGCACCGTCGCTCCACATCATCATCATCATCATCTCCACAAAGATCACTACTTAAGATCTACTTAAGTAAATATTTTACTTTGCTAAATAGACGGAAGATTTAGTTTCTGATCTTCCTCAGCCGCAGCGATCACACAAACACTCTTTTGGGATCAAACGACCTCTGATGCTGCAAACCAGCGCTGCAAATGAGACAAACTCATTTCCAATTTCTACCGTACCATGCAGCATTTATTTAATTATTTCACCGAAGCTATCCAGGATTTTACAAACGGCGCTGCCGACACGAGACGTTCCTGCTGCAAGCCCACCTGAATTACGAAGCAGAATTAATGGCTTATCGAGGTAACGTCTGGTTTAATGCGGGATTTTAAGTTGCACAAAGTTGGTTGACTCCTTACCTGGGTCTGTCGCCGTGGTAATTACCTGTGATGTCGAGGAGCGTCTCGTTATGCGCATTCATCAGCTTCTTTTATGCGTGTTCAGATTTCTTCCTGCCTTTTCAGGGGGATTGATCCACTTATTCCCACCTGTTTTTGTTCTTTTTTACGTGAGCTTGCGCATATCCTGAGTCAGTAACCTTGGGTTGAATTGGAGACTTGGAAACCAGAGTATTTCAGTTTGAATTCATGTGTGCGCCGAGTATTGAGCAGATATGTTGTTTGGGCACCTTGGAGCTACAGAGTGGCTCCAAAAATACTTAAAGTCTTATTATCTGCTCAGAATGAATCCATTCAAATTTAAGCACTTTTCACTTTCATCACTAGGTTGGACCTAAATACAGAACAACAGTGGGGAAAAAAACTGTTTATGATTGTGTGATAGCTTGTGTTGGTATATAACACAAAACCCAATAAAACAGATTAAAGTTTGCTGTTCTGATCTGATGAAATGATAAAAAGGTGAATGGTCTTGCAAGGGAGTATTTCTTTGTAAGAAAAAACCCAATAGTGACATCCCGAACAACCCAACGCTTTTGTTCATTCGACAACAGAAAACTATTTCCTTTAATCGTTTCTAAACATTTTAAATACTTTTAGAATCTTTCTTTCCACTGGATTTTTTATTTTATTTTTTTTGCTGTGTGAACACGGCCTGTGAGTGTGCGGCCAAACGTGTGCACAGTCCCTCCGTGCGGCTGGATATCAGGAAAGTCAAGTATTTACATTCGCCATCGTCTTCCGGAGGTGTTTGCACAAAGACTATTTGTGGTGGTCTTTGTTGTTGCCAGGTTGTGTAATCAGATCTTGTTTATTGCATCAGGCCTGTTTCAACATATCACAATAATGATAAACAGAGAAACCGGAGTAGTTTAGGACAGAGTCCAAGAGATGCAGTGAGTATTAACAGAGGGCAACATAATCCACAGTGTTATTGACAGTGCCGAAGGAGAGGCACGGGGACAAGGACAAACTGGGAGCCTTTGGAAAGGAGCTGCATGTCAATGTGCGGATCTTTTTTCAGTGGGTATGCGATTTTTTAAAAGAACATTTCAGGATTGTTAATTGTTTCAAATTAAACTTACACCAATGCCATTCATCGAGACAATGCTGAGTTGCTGCAGATTTGTGTGTCAGAAGATGGGTCGGCTACAGAAGGACGTGGTCAGCAGAAATGTTCGGCTTAGATCAAGTTCAAGTTTATTTTTAATAAAGAGACGATTTGTATTAATGAGCATTTACATGGAAATGTATGAGATTATAGCCAGGTGGCTAATTTCTATCTCTCGTTCCATTACAGCAAACTAATACATTTAGGGATTAAAAACAACATCAAATAACAGTAGGGAATAAACCATCTTAACATCTGTTTATCTTTATATACTCAATATTGACATTTTTGGCTTTCCAAGAGCCAGTTTTTAGGATGTTTTTTCTTCTTTTTTTAAATGAGATGAGAAGTGAAAGGTTGCTTGTGTTTGTCAGAATTGTGTTAAAGTGTGAGAAACATTACAGGAAAAGGAGCTTTTTGGTTGTTTTTTTTTGGCTTTTTGGAGCTGAACAGTCACCCCAAGAACCTGCCCTCGTTGCCTCGCTGGTATTCTTTTGAATAAACTGTTGTAATGGCAATGGAGCATAACCATGAAATATTTTATAAACCAAGAAAGAATCTCGACCTTTTACTATGTCGCCCCAACTTAGTCACTCGTGTTTCTGCAGTATCTGGCAATGATGATACCATTTAACAATGCTCAGTCAGTATTATGTGGCCAAGAAAATATCCCTCATACTACTACAACACCACCAGGCAATGTTTTTATAATCTGTAATTGTTCAATTTAGGTGAGTCAACGTGAAGTAGACTCAGTTTTTTCATTCTTAGCGACTTGGTGTGGTCTTCTGCTGCTGTAGCCCACCTTCATTAAGGTTCAACGTCTGAAAGAGTAAACATTTGAGACACATTTTTAAGACATCACCTCTTCTGAATTCTGACGTCACCTGCGACTTGCTGAATATTTCCGCTTTTTTTTTTTTTTTTTTTTTTTTTTTAGAGAAAACTTGAGAGCTCAGGCTTGCTCCCCCCCGTTCAAAGTCAGCACCCCCTTTCTTCCCCC